TTGAGGGAGCCTTTTTGATATACTTTGATACACATACTTAGAGAAGATATACTTAGTGAGGAAGGAAAAGAGAGGAGGATGCTAGAGACACCATTGGAGACTCTTCATCAACCAAGGAGCAGATTTCTTCCATGGAGCTTGCCCTTGAGGGTTGGAGGACATCATCCATGAGTGGCTAGACATTCTCTTGGGGCTAGAGTTAGCCCTAAACATACTTTCTACTTCTTGATTTATGTATTTTTGAGGGGATTTGTATTGTGATTCATGTCTTGACACTTTTATATATATTGATCTTATTTATTCAATGATTTATGTGCTCTAATGCTTCCAATTGATCATTTCATTCTATCCATATGTCTATGTATGCTAGAATAGATGTTCATGTGTTTGTCTCTATTTCTTGTGTTATTGATGCATGTCTATGTGTATTGATGCTATAGATCTAGAGATTGTCAAGACATAGTGCTTAATGGAGTGTTCTTATGGTTTATTTGATGGTTCATACTCATTTCATAGTCCTTAGTTTAATTAGTTTAATTTCATATCATTAGCTTAGTTATAGTGTAGTTATTAAATGGGAGGACAATCCATGCTTGTTGTTGATGTTCCATACTTATGAAAGCAAGTAACATATATCTCTAACCTTGTGATGTGTTTGGATTGTGAGCTTAAAGAAAGGATTAATGGTTTAATTTGATATGTTATGCTATCCACCATGTTGTTTAGACAATATATGCATAATTTGTTATCCATGCTTGTTGAAACAACCACACACACACACCTTGTTGCAATACATGTTCTTCCCCTTATTAATCATTCATTAAAGGTGTAAAAAAGCTATGGTTAGTGGTGATCTCTTAACCCCAAGATCTCTCTCTCTTTTATTCTCTCTATTGCATTATTTTTTACTTTAGTTTAATTTGCATCTAGTGTAATCCAACCAACTAACCACTATTTTGATCACTCGCCCTACTAACCCTAATTTTGATTCCTCAACCTAGTGCGACCCTCAATCCCTTGGGACGATCCCTACTTGCCCTAGCTATATTTTTAGTGAAAGGTAGTAGTGGCAATTTCTAAATGTAAAACTTGGCCACGTTACATAAACTTTGGGTTTGAATTGACGACACCAAACCCACCACATGCATAGCGAATTAATCATGGTTACAACCACATATTAATTCAGCTAGAAAATAATATAATTTAAAGCTAAGTATAGACTATCTTCGATTGGTATAAATCATCTACCTAACTACTTTACTCTAGGGTGTAACATGGTCTATTTTTTTTAGGCATATTCCATCAAATCTCTAACATTATATTCAGAGAAATACCATTGTGTAATCATCTCATTCACAACTACAAGAAGTGAATGAGTTGTGTTCAATCATAAGATTAAAATATCTAAGACAAGATAGAAAAATATTTGTAATTGAATTAAAAACTTTAAAACCGATTCTTATTGAAAAGTCAATTAAAAACCCTATAGATTACACAATCATGCATGATAATAATTTTTTTCCAATAAATAAATACAATCAAACCAGTGTAATAAGTTAGGGCTTTATCACAACCCTAGCAAAGCGTTTAGCCAAGCATGACTGGAGTAGAATTCTTCATAGTTGAGGAAGACATCTTCACCGCCATGGATTGATCCCTTCCTTGCTTCTGAATGCTCTCAGCCTTAAGCTCCTCTGAATGATAATTCAATGCTGTAGAGGACTCCCTTTAAATAATAAAAGATCAGCCCTAAAGTTCCCTTTTTTCATATAGAAGACGTACATAGAAATTCTACCAAATAAGGATTCCAAAATTCGTACAGATTTCCAGCCCAATTTTGACAAGGTATACAGCTATTTTAGGGAATCTCGTGAAATACAAAATTGTAGCTCTTCGAATTTTCTTTCAACCATTGCGAGAATTTAGTTGTTTTGACACTCGAGGAGAAAGATACAGCCAGATTACCAAAACGGGTTCAAGTTACCAACTTTGACGAAAGTTACCTTTTTGTAGAAGAATTTTTCCTTTTCTTCTTCTTTCTATTCTCATTAACTTGTGGCTTCTTTTGGACTATTTTCTAAGTATAATTAGACTTGGATATTCAGCATTGCTCGGTCCCACGGAATGTGATCTTTTAAAGCTCAGAATCACTGGTTTTGACTGATTTTACAATTAAAGCCATGAAATAAATAAAAACAATAAAACAATGAAAAATTACAAATAAACTATTATTAAGAGAATAAAACATGCCAATAAAGGGACTAAAATGTATAACATTCAGGGCCTAATAGTACATATAAATTTCACAACACACTAATAAAAGTATAGACTTATGCTACTTTTGACTTTTTAAAGTGGACAATTATAAGAGATGGCCAATAATTTGACACCGAGGGACTATTTGTCAATGATATCCAATAATCTTGTTTAATTCAACAAAGTTAAAATAACATATCTTTTTCTAGGATACTCCTACTATCTTTCAAAGTGGGTGGTGAAAAATCGAGTTCTGAAGTGAACGGTTTTTAAGAGTATCTCCAATATGCTCTTCGAATTTGCCATATCAGCATTTTTCAATAGATACGTCAGCATTTTCCATAGCCACGTCAACATTTTAGAATCTCCAAATTTTAGCTATCGGATGTATTCCAATGGTGCATTTTCGTTCTCCAAAAATATTAATATTTTAATATTTTTTAAATTTTTAATAAATTTTATTTTTTAATTTTTTTCTAACTGCTATATTTTTAAAACGGCTATATCATAAAAAAAAATTTAAACTATACAATATTTACTATTAAAACCAATACGATATGACATAAATTTAAACAATACAATAAAAATAAAAAAACAATACAATACGACATGAATTAAAAACATAACAACTAGGAAAAACAGAACAATCATATGGAATGCTTGAGATAATCCTATGGAAAGATTGAGTTACTGCGTGCGTGTATAGATGCTAATATTTCATTTTAGCGTTTAATTAGCCATGCTTTCCCGGCTTCTGATGGCATCGATTTTGGATCTTTTTGCATGATTAACATCTCTTCAGTTCTTTGTTTGTTTTCAATCTCTCTTAGTTTGCTTTGAAGCTCAAGTTGTCTAGTTTTTTCTTTATCTGCTTTGCATCCTTCTCGTGCTATTTGAGCGGCCTCAAGAGTTTCAGATTGTCTTTGATAAAGGGCTGTTGCATGATCGAATTTGCTAATGAAATCATTCTGACTTTTAGATTGTCTTTTATCCTTATTTCACCTTTGCTTCGCTGCTTTTTATCCTTCTGGTCGCTGACATTCTTCAACATCCGTCGGATAATTTTCGCCTATGTGCGTCGATCCTTTAACCGAACTTGGTGTCATTGCTACATTACTTGATGGAGTAGATGGGTTTGAGTGACCAATAGGCTCACTATCATCAATGTGGATTCCACTCCTCTTCTTTAGCTGTCTTTTTTTTTTTTTTTTTTTTTGAATGTCAATTCTTTTTGACAATGTAAATGCCACTTATTATTGCTTTTTAAAATGTTCCAACAACTGTCAAACTTAAATTTGGTATTATTTTGACGAGCAAACAACTCTGTGGCTGCTATCATCTTAAAAAATAAAAATCAATAATTATTAGAAGACGAATCTTTAAAATATCTACCAATTGAATTTAATACAATAAATAACTTATCTTGTACTCATTGTTTTGCCCACTGGGGTAATTCCTTTCGATCTGGGCTTTGTATCGAGAAAATTTGGTAATCATTTGTTGCATGATAGACCAACGATTCAAGCAGGCGATATGATTTCTTTTAGGTGTACCAGCACATTAACATGTTGCTCAAAATTTTCTTGAATTCGAATCCATAACGCTGTCTTTTGTTGGTCTGAACCGATGACTGTATCAGTGCTAATGGCCATCCACGCATAACATAAAGCCTCATCTTCAACCGTGGACCAATTAGGAGGCCGAATAGCCCTTTGCTTTATTGGAGGTTGGGAGTTACTAGATTGTGGCACTTCAGTAGGAATGTTGGAAACTTGAGAAGGTTGATGAAACGGAAATTGAGATTCATCTCCAACAAATTTAGATTCTTCTCCAACAAATAAGAAGGGATCAAAATTATCATTTGATTGGTTGAATTAGGAGTTGTAGTTGTAATATGGTGGTGGAGGATCCATGGAATTGAACTTGAGTAAAAAATATAATTAAAAGATTGAGAAAATGACTTAGTGGTTGTAGTTGTAGGTTGAAAACTAAAGAAGATGGATTCGATATGATGTGAATAATAGTAGGGGTTGATGTATTTATAGAGGAAAAATGAAAGGGTTTATTTATTTATTTATTATTTTTTTATATATATATATTTAATGAATTTTTTCAAAAAAAAATTCAAAAAATAGGTTTTTGTGCAAATACAGCCGTTAAGGCACTGTTAAAACGGCTATATGTCAATAGAAATATTTTAAAAAGCAATTTTTTTTTTTAAAAGCACTTTTATCTATTTTTTTAAACTTTTTTTTGCTCAAAAAAGCCTTTAAGGACTGTTTGTGTTAGCCAAATAGTGCCTTAACGGCACTTTGGTTCAATTATTTTGAGAAAAAAGAGAGACCAAAATAAGCAGAAAAAATTGATTTTTTCCTTTTTTTTTTTTTTTTTTCAGGCAAACATGTCCTTAGGAACAATTCTTTTTGGGCTAAATGTCAGTTTTGGGCCAGAATAAAAAAATTTAAAGAAAATGGATGTGGGCCCACATGGCACGCCTGCGGCTCACCAACAGGGTCGCAGAATACCACGACCCATTCTGCTATCCATTGGGTGAGGCTCAATTATTGGGGACCTTTTGAAGCAGTCCAATCTTCAAAACAGGCCCAAAATTTGGCCCAAAATGGCCGAATTTTTGTCCAATGGACCTGCCCTAAGCTTCCAAAAGAATATAGTGTGAGTGAAACGACTTAAGAGGCTTTTGCCATTGAAAAAAAAAAAAAACACAAAAAAAAAAAACACATATATACCTTTGCTCTTAAACCGGGGCTACTCTTACCACTTGTCCGTTCTCCCCGAGAAGCGGATAAACCCTCATACCCGCCAATTTCAATATACCAACTGCGCAAACACATTTACAGAACACCATTGCCACACAATGTCAGCTATCGACCTCTGCGGATATCATTCCCTCTCTAAAACCCTCTCTCTCCTGTCCCCAACTTTTAGGCCGCCTCCTCCCACCTTTCTCTCTCCCCCAACTCGCTTCTCTCTCTACAATCACTCCCTCTCTTTCTCCAACTCCGCAATTAATCACCAGCACCGCCGCTCAAATCTTTGCCGCTGCGTTTCCGACGGTGGACTCCTCCGCGAAGATGACTCAGAATTTGAAAAAGACGTTGAAGAAGTTAATGATTCCGGTGGTGATGACGATGAAAGTCCTGAAATTGACGTTGAAGAGCTCGAAAAAGAAGCAGAAGATGCTGTTCGAGAGTATTCTATCTCTTTATCTCGCGAACTGAAAATTGGTGCGTTTGATTCAAAGCACTATATATATATATATATATATATATATATATATATATATTATGCTTGTTATCTACTATTGATTTATTGATTATTCACATTTATGCTGTCTTATGATTTCAGAAGAAGAAAGAAATGTTAGAAAGGAATCTCGTGGAAAACAGAAAAGGAATAGAAGTACACCTAGAAAGGTTAGTATCTTTCAACTAAGTCTCTGTCTACATCCCACAAGTATTTTGCAATTTCATCCATATTTTTGGCCCATCATTGATCTCTTGGAAGAGCAAGAAAGAAGAAACTGTATCCAAGTAGGGCACAGAAGCTGAGTACCATGCCATGTCTTCTGTTGAGTACTTAATTTTGCTTTGCTTTGCTTTTTAGTGATAAAGTTCAAAAATATAGACTTAAGTGGCATGGTGTATGTTATATAAACTGTTACTTAAAATGGCCAAAATTGACACTGGTTGATAAAATGAAAGAAGACAATATGAAATTAGATATAGTAGATTGATGGGGCTGATCCCATTGGAGTTAGACCAATGCAAGGATGTCCTAATGGTTAGTCTTGGATGATGTCATAATGGTTAGTCTTGGATTTATAGTTTTCTGCGTATTCTTTAAAATGTTGAATCTAAAAAGCTCATGTTCTTTCTTGACCTGAAGAAGTTGAATCTGTCTATTTTGGTATGTCTCGTGTCTTGGAACTTAAGAGTCTTCCGGCCTTTTTTTAACTACCTTTTATTAATTATTATTATTATTATTATTATTATTATTATTATTATTTTTTTGTTGTTTTCTTTTTGGCGTTATATTCTTGGCTTACAAGCTAAAAATTTGATTGAATGTTCCTTCTCAATCCAAAGCTTTTGTTTTGTTAGTGGGTGTGAGCACTAGAACTTCGTACTAACAAATTTCGTAACTAAAGCTGGAGTAATTATTTTTATTTTAGTTTTTAATTAGGTTTTCAAAAATCAGATTAGTTAGTTAGTAAGTACCTATGTCCAAGGGCATCAGGATTCGAAGATATATTGAAGAGCAAAAAGGTAAAATCACCTCATGAATCACTAACTCTTTAATTTGAGTTTTTAATTTGTCCATTTATATGATTGTATATGCTAGGGTTTGAAGATTGGTGTTCTTATCCATCAATCTCTTTCTAAAATGTATAAGATTGTTTTTGAATGTTACTATTTTAGAAATCCTAAAAGAACAAGGAAAGGAATTTTTACAAAATTAGTAAGGCTTGACCAATAAAACTCTTTCTAAAATGCATAAAACTGTGATTTTTGTTTTAAATTTCTAGCTTAGTTTAGAAATTTACAAAATTCAGTGTTAGTTACGTTCCAGGTCGAAGATGGAATTCATGCTACATCTAAGTCTGTTAATCTTCATCGACAAGGGTATAAAGATAAATTGACACAATGATGCACTCACCAAATATGGATTCATGCATGTATGTCTTGGGTTTCTAAATTTTAATGATTTAATTTGACTTTGAAACCCTCAATTGTTTTAAACTTGTATTAAAATAGTTTTGGGGTGCTTAAATTCTTTATATTAGTTCTCTATTTTCTTTTGTTCTTGGGAGGAACCATAAATCTATTAGGGAGGTTGTGGATATGTTGAGAGTCTAGGGGCCCTATTTGGTCCTGGTCTTTTGTATATGGGTTGTGCTCCCCAGCTGAGCGTGCTTTTCTGTAATATGTTCCCTTGTTAAAAACAAAAATACGAAAATAGGTTTTAGAAACTGCTATGTGGAAAATTTTCAAAATGTAATACCTTCAGAAGATTTCGATCTATCGAGGTATTGATCGAAGTCCTTTGAAGATGACGAATCAAATGGCATCAAATTTGATCGATCGAACCTTTCAAAAAAGTAGTTTCCAAGTTTGTTTTAAACTCTATTAAACCTAATCTTTATAAACTACTTGGTTGCTTATATAAGCATTATGTTTGGGCAGAATGAAATACTCCCATATAAAGAATAGAGAGCTGATGATTATGAGTTTTGAAGGGGCATCCCTGTTTTATTGAGGAACAACGGACCATTTCTATTTGTTTATTTGTTTCTCTTTCCCTCTTTACTGTTCAAAGAGAAAGATAGTTCACAGTTCTCATTCTATGGATACTTGTTGACATTTGTCATTGTGTACTACAGCGAGGAGTTCAACACAATCTTTTAACCCATTATCAGATAGAAGCCTTAATGACTAGTGGTTGTGACCGAATCATTAGAGAAGCAGGTTCAAGAGGAGCAAATGTTGTTTTTTTTTTTTTTTGATAAGTAAGAAAGGAGCAAATGTTGTTGACGAGAGGAATAACTGCCTGTAGACTTTTTGGAGAAAGTTAGGAGTCCTCTGTGTCATTGAGGTAACTAGGAGATTCTTAGGGTATAGTTTGTTAAGCTAGGTTGTAATTTCTTTCTCTTATAGTGGATTTGATTTTTCTGGATTAGATCTTGTGGTTTTCCCCTTCTTAGGGTTTCTCACGTGAAAATCTGGTGTCCATTGCTTTATGTCTTTGTTGTTTATTGTTATTGTGGACTGTTTTGATTTTTACTATATGCTATAATTCTTAGTTTAAATTTCTATTAAAGTGGTTTTAATTTGATAATTAGCTAAAACTAGTACTTAGCTCTACAAAATTTATCCAACCTCCTTCTAGGTCTAGGTTGGTGGACCTTGCGCAACTCTCTTTCAGGGATTCAGGTTCTGGTCCTATGTTTCATCAATTGATATCAGAGTAGGTTGGTCAACTTTATTCAGTGGGTCATGGAAGGTCTCAAGGAAGACAGTTCCTTATCTACCTCATCCACTTCGAAGCATGTTATTGCAGCTATTGGAAAGCTCACGTGAGAGAGTTTGTTAATTTAATGGATGACAGGTCTGTTCTCAATTGAACTAGGTTACTCTCCTCCTCCTACAACAAACGTAATTCCTAACTCGGGTTTGTGTCTTCTAAAGCTAATATGCATGAGATGGATTCCACGCATAACAACTTCAAATGGCATACAACGGTGTTGTGATTTCTTTCACTCCTTCTGTAATTGCAATATGCTTGACGATCCATGTTCTAAGAAAGGCTTGATGTTACCCAAGAATGAAGATGATAGCGTTCCTATTGCAAATGTCAATTCCGTGCTTTGCAGCCAACACAATTCTGATCTTGCACAATTTTGAGCAACAAACTTGAAGCCCAAGTTTCAAGCTCTTAACATGATTCTTCAATTCGATAGTGATCGAAAGTAACACTTCAAATTATCCCTCGAACGCAGTTGATGAGCGGACTGAGATTGAAGCTAAGTGAAGCGAATTGTGTTGACTTCTCTTTGAAGAGCTGCGTGGAGACTTTCGGTGGAGTCTTTTGTGTCATAGGTTGTAATCTCTTTCTCTTATAGTGAATTTGGTTTGCCTAGATTAGGTCCCGTGGTTTTTCTTTTCCTAGGGTTTTCCCCGTAAAAATCTTGTGTCCATTGCGTTATGTCTTTATTGCTATGGATTGTTTTGATTTTACTATTTTCTATAATTCTGAGTTTAAATTTTTGTTAAAGTTTAATTTGAAAATTATTGAAGAAGAAATACAAGATAGAAGGAATACAAGAGAAATATATAAAGATTTGAATGAGGATAATCACTCATACACAGTTCTGGTATTTATATATTAAAAGAGCACTTGTTAATATTCCAGGAAAGAAACTAAATAAAATCACTACAGATTCTATGCCTAGACATATGCATAAATAAAGTAAAATTCCATGATTCTAGGTTGTCATATCTTGGCTAAAATGATAAGTCACATCCCATGATAGGCTATCATATCCTGGCTAACAATTTCAAATTGGTAATTAGTGTTACAAGACCTATTCACCCCCTCCCTAAGTCTACATAAGTGGACCATGCACAACTCTCAGTCAGAGCCTGGGTTCCAGTCCTAAGTTTTGTCAACCCCCATTTAGATCTACTTTGGGCCTTGCGCATACTCTCACGTCAGAGCCTTGGGTTATGTTCTTGTATTTCTCAGAGGACTTTTATTACGGCGAGCGTATATGAGGTGATTCAAGAAGAGAGACATAAAATGATTCTTTCCCATATATTTGCATAATTTGTTGGAGGGTTAAGGATAGTACTATGATTTGTTTGTCCATTGCCCCTTTGCTTATAACTGGCAGCTAGTATTCTTCTCCTTAACTTATGTGGGATGGGTGGACCCTCTCAAATTTACTTTTGTGCTGGAACTCTCTTAGGCATAGGTTGTGTGAAAGGTAATATTATTTCATTGGCTTCTTCTTGGAGAGAATTTTTGTTATCCTGCTTTGTTTCGTATGACGGGGTACAGAAAAACTGCAATATGGTACTTCATTTTGAGGATTCGTTATTTGAGTCTGTCAGGAGTCTTTCTTTGACTTTTTATGGAAGGCCATTTGTGAAAAGGGCTTGAGTTTCTAAAATCTAACAACTGCACTCCTCAACCTAGTGGGGGCTACAATTCAAAATGGATGAAATTGGAGTAACTTTTTGTTTCTTTTTTTGCCTTGTGGAATGGTTTTTGCTATAAAAGCTGAGATTCTGGCTTTGTTGATTGTGCCAAGAGAAGTCAAGCGCAAATGTTGGTCAAGATCCACGTGGAAAGAAGGAAAAAAAAAAAAGGGAAGAGGGGGGAGTGTGCAAGCATTGTTATACCGGTGAAAAAGCAAATTTTGACGCTCTTCAAGGCATGCTTTTCTTGAGCATGAGATTATTGACATCTCACAAGAGTTGTTTACTCTATTTTTTATTTTGTTTTTTAGATCTGCTAATTGAAAGTGGCCTTCTTATCTAAGCATCCAATTTCCCTTAGAAGGTTCAGGGGCCATATCTGTCCTCATTAGGACTTTGGAGAGCTGTGTTTTTCTGGTTGTTCTGCTCTTCTTTTCTTTGGAAGGACTATTTTGTCCTAGATCTTTATGACTTGGGGAAATTTCTTAAGAAATAATTATTTACATATTACTGCAGATACTTTCCTTTTTCCTTCTTAAAATATATTGCATTTGGGAATATGTTAGAAATTAGAATAGATTTTCAGATGCCTGTACGAGCTCTAGTCTATTTATATGTCTATACACACATATGCATTCAGATATGCATCATCGAAATTTGAAAAAATACAAACTGTTCAGATACTGTTGAAACTAAATCTTTTTTTTTGATAATATAAGTTTTGGATTCAACTTTGAAAAGGAAGAGGGGGGGGGGGGGGGGGGGGGGGGGGGAAAGGCTCCTGCATATTTGGAAGAAACTTACTGGACATTTTAAATTCCATTTGCAGATCTCTGACCGTCTTCTTCCGAGGGTTACAATTGTTGGAAGGCCCAATGTTGGTAAATCAGCATTATTTAATCGTCTGGTTGGGGTATTTAATTATCAACCTTTCATCTTGTTCTATCCTGACTTTTAAAATATATATGAATTCCAATTATTAGGAAACAAAAAGCTTACAATTTTGATTTCTACGTTGTAAAAGTTCTTGTTTTTTCTTTTGGAAATTTTTATTTTAATAATTAATATTATTAATTTCAATTCTTGTAGGGTAACAAGGCTATTGTGGTGGATGAACCTGGGGTTACAAGAGATCGCTTGTATGGTAGATCCTTTTGGGGAGACTATGAATTTATGGTAGTGGATACTGGAGGTGTTCTCAGGACTTCGATGTCACAGACTGATATTATGGAGGGATTGGCTATCACACCAGCTATTGGTATGGAGGGGATTCCACTTGCCTCGAGGGAGGCAGCTGTTGCCAGGATGCCCTCACAGATTGAGAGACAAGTCAATGCAGCTGTGGAAGAGTCATCTGTCATTATATTTGTGGTTGATGGCCAGGTATACTACATCATTTTATAGCTTGTTTGCATTTCATAGCTGCCAATATATCTTACAACTGTAAAATGCCATTTGCCAGAGCCATTTGGCCATGCCAGGCTAGGTGGGTGGACTGGATGCATACCTAGCTTTTGATATTTTTGGGGAGTAGTGTCTGCCTATGCGTTCTCATGCTTGTCTGTCCAGTTTTTTTACCACACCAAATAATGAACCATATTTATTTCAATCACACTTGTCAGATTTTATTAACCTTTTTCTTTCACTTATTTTGCCTCCTTTTCTTTGCAATATTTTTTTGGAACAGCTTATTCAAAGGAGAATAATATAATTAGTGCTCTAGGTTTTATTATAAGCTGCATCTAGCTTGGTGAGGGTGGTCCTTGGTGCAATGGTAAGTTTGCTCCATTGTGACCTGGAAGTCACGGGTTCGAAACTGCAAACAGCGTCTCCATGTGGAGGTAAGGCTGCATACAGTTGACCCTCCACAGACCCCCCACAATGACGGGAGCCTCGTGCATTGGGCTAACCTAACCCTTTACATCGAGCTTGGCTAGCTAATATGTCGAGAGAAGTAACTTGGGTGCATGGATGCATACAATGGAGACTAGTAGATGAACCAACCCAAAAAAAAAAAAAAAAAAAAAAAAAAACCTAGCGGATTGATTCTAGATCCCCCGCACGAATGATTTTAGATTTAATATGCGAGGGTAGTGGACGTACCTTGGTGGAATCTGGTAATAGGTGTCTGTATGACCAACAGAAAATTTTGAACATCTTATGCTATAGGTTTCTGAGAACTTATAAAGCTGTGGCCATTGTTTCCACATGGCTATGGTCCTTTGACTGATAATCTAAGTGCTTTCATGTTTAAGCGAGCAATAAATGTTTCAATTTATCGGGAAATCTTGTGTGCGTGTGTTGCCAAGTCTTTGATTTCATGATTCTGTGGACAATTCTCTTTTGATTGTTCAAGACACTTCAACAAACTTTAACAGGCAGGTCTGACAGCAGCTGATGTGGAAATAGCGGACTGGCTGCGTAAAAACTATTCAAAGAAGTCTATCGTTCTTGCCGTGAACAAGTGTGAATCTCCAAGGAAGGGAATTATGCAAGCATCAGAATTTTGGTCCTTAGGGTAAGGCTGTCCCAATCACACACTCTCTCTTTTATTTTATTTTATTTTATTTTTTCATTAACCAAGATTATGAATTTTACATCTTTAGTCTTTGTAATTTAACACTGATGAGTTACAATATTTTAAAGAAATTATTACGGGAATTTCATATTGCTTGGAATATGTCTTCATTTATGATGCTTAGAGGAGTTATACGAGTGGTTGTGCTAATTTAGCAGATGCACATGCAATCATCCATGATAAAATATCATAAATTCAGCGACCTCCTGCTCTGTCACGCTGGACATGCAATATGACTAATTGATTTGTGGAGAGAAGCTTTCAAATTATGAGGTTTTAATATATATAAAACAAAAATTTAATGTACGTAATGAAATTTTAGAAAAAGTAGATATACAAGTGGCGATGTTGTGAAGAATGAAGATTGAGGATATGCCAAAAGGGGGGCATTTTATCCCCTAGGATTGATTGTCCACAAAGAGTGAGAAATTGGAGGTGATGTAGCCACAAAATAAAAGTTGAATAGGTTAAATGGAGTAACCAAAAAAATTAAAGTTGAATAGGTGTAATGGGGTTTTTTTGTGTATACCCATAAAATTGAATGGTGTTAACCCCAAGGTTTCAACCTAAGGATATATGGGTAATTTTGATGATAACAAACTATTCATGTGCAAATATAATGTTTTACTTGAGTGATTAAAATTCAGATCATCCTTAAGCTCAAGCATCAAAAGCTCAATGGGAAAACTCTAATGGTTCTAAGGCTCATGGTCATAGAACTCAAAGGCTTAATGTCATTGAAGAGCAAATTGAAGATTATGGATTGTATAGGCCTATGGTGAGAGCTAGGATTTTTATTTTATTTTATTTTGTAAAGTGATTCATTCTGCATTTATTTGAAAGCTCAAGTCTAGGAACTAAAGTAGCCTAGGACCTAACCTTTGAATTGAAAATATCATCTTAGGGTCACTAGGATCATTGACTTGTCCCAAGAACATAGATGATTCATAAGGGCAAAATAGTGATTTATCTTTTTGGAAGTCACCTTGGACTTTAGAAATTTAAAATTCGTACTTTCAAGTGACTTATACTTGTCAAAAAAAAAAAAAAAAAAAAAAAAAAAAGTGACTTATACGCCAGTAAGGTATTCACAGACGTCTATATGTTCATTTCCTGCAAGTAAGCATTTCTCAGAAAAAGACACCTAGACTTGTGTCTGTTCATTATCTACTCATTTACGCATTTTTTTTCTTCCAGAAAAGTGACTTTGATGTCTGTAAGGTAGTCATAGACGTCTATCTGGTTAATTTCTAGAAGGGAACATTTCTTTTATCAAACACACAGACGTCTACCTAGGCTTCTATAGACAATCTAACAAAAAAAGACCCAAAACTGTTTCAATTCACATAGATGTCTACCGGGGCTTCTATAGACATCTAACTGGAAATAGAAAATTGCACATAGACATCTATTTAAAGACACTTAGACGTCTATATGATCGATTATTTTTATAAAAGCAGATCCAAACACGTCTCAAGGGGTAAGCATACTTTGCAAAACATAATGTAGGTGGCTAGTAGGGAGTGGGGATAAATGAGATGGTGTGGGTGGGCACCCTGAGAGGGGTATTCGAGGTTAGGTATTTTTACCAGAGTTTATGGAGATCTCAGGTCCTACCTTCCCTTGGAAGGCACTTTGGAGGTCGAAAGCCCCCTAAAAGGTGGCTATTTTGCTTGGTCTTGGAAGCATTCTCCCTCGACAATCTTAGAAGGAGACGATAGATTGTGGTTAACTGGTGTTGTATGTGCAAAAGAAAAAAAAACAGTGAATCACCTTCTTCTTCATTGCCCAGTGGCGAGGGATGTTTGGTCTATGTTCTTGGTTGTGTTGGCATGTCTTGGATGTTTGATCCATGGTGGATATGATTGAGGCTTGGACAGGGTGTTTAGTGAGAGCCGAGTCAGAGATGCTTCGAGGGCCACTCCCCTTTGTTTATGATGGGGTTCGTGGCGCAAGAGAAATAGGAGACCTTTTGATGGTGAGGAGACTTCTATTTGGTCTCTCAAATATAATATATTGTCTACTTTATTTTTATGGGTTAATGGGCGAAATTGTAAATCTATGGGTCGCCTTTTGGATTTTTTGAATGGCTTGAAATTATAGTTGTCGTCGTTGGCATGTTGTGTATTCCTTTGGGTGCTCTCCCCTCTTGAGCGCTTTTTTGAACTCTTACTAATGGAAGAAAAAAAGAAGAAGGAAAATGTAAACAACATTTCACTAAAATGACCGTAGTTGAAATGCAAATGGTATAGATGGATGTGTGACAAAATATGTAACAATACTTTTAGAAACAAACACATTTGTAAAACAATTGAAGTAGCCTATGAAAGAAAATAGATTAATTTTCAGAAAAGGACTTTTGAAGCTTGGAAGGACTTTTGAAGGCCTTAGGAAGCTCTCTCAAATGGGCACTAAGACTATATGCAATGAAGGATTGAATTAGTAAGGGAGACTGATGTGGTCATATTTATGGTAATGTTATTGGGAAGGGTAGAACAAAACTGACAGGTTGATAAAAGGAAAGTTATGATGTGCTTTGAGTGAGGTAGTGATTTTAGACCGAGTGGGATGGTGAAAAAGGATTCATTGTCTTGTTGCATCTGATTGTTGGAATCTCATATTCAGTATTTTTTGCGTTCAGTGAGTAATGCCTAAGCACTCTTTCCAATTAATTAACGCTTGGAGAAGTTGCCCTGTTTCTGGTCATGCTCGTGATTTTGGAGGGTTGCCCCACACTGTGTTTGGTGGTGTATTTGGAGAGAGAAATAACAGAAACTTTGAAGGGAAGGAATCGTCTTTTGCAAACCTTAAGTCTCTTATTCTTCGTTCTCTTTTCTGTTATGTTAGAGGCAGCGCTTGCTCCTCGATTGATGATTTTTTTGTTCTATTGGACTCTGTTAGTCTGTAGGTTTGGCTTTTGGTCTTTCGTTTTTGTGTATTAGGGACACATTCCCCTTTTGAACGTTTTTCTAATATATTTTTACTTATAAAAAAAAAAATATCATATGTTAGTTTACAAGCTTATATATATAGAAGTGTATTACAAATTCTATCCAAGGAAAAGACATATACAGATCATAATTTTAAAAAAAGTCATCTATCTAACTATGGATAATTCCTAAAAATCCTCCCTAACTAATTTCCTAACAATTCAGCCTAGATCTTTCTGCATTCCCCCTCAAGCTGGCTCAAAAAAGTATCTTGCATTCCCAGCTTGCATGTAAGATTGTCAAATTTCCCCTTCGGTAATCCTTTAGTGAGGATATCTGCCACCTGTTCTCCTGTAGGAATATAGGAGTAGAAATATATAAAGAAGAAAAAGGAGAGAATTGTGTAAAGGCTTGAATGAGATGAATCACTCATTCACAACTCTAGTATTTATAGATAAAAAGCGCATATGCTCATATTACAAGAAAGGAAACTAAATCAAATCTAAATCAAATCACTACATATTCTCAAGCATATTGCCATATTCTATGGCATATTCTATAGTATAATCAAATCTCTGCTAATATGATAAGTCATTCCATAAATCGTAGCTATTATATATGTTAACATATGCATAGTCAAATCTCTACTATTATGGTAAGTCATTCTATAAATCGTGGATATCATATATGCTAACACTCCCCCTCAAGTTGGTGTATGAATATCTGAAACGCCTAACTTGGATAATGCATTCTCAAAGACAATCTTGCTGACGCCCTTTGTAAGAATGTCTGCAAGCTGCTGAGAGCTTGTGACAAATGGAGTGCAAATTTGACCAAAGATGATCTTCTCTCAAATGAAGTGACGGTCCACCTCTACATGCTTAGTCTTATCATGCTGAACGGGATTTGCTGCTATGCTAATGGCAGACTTGTTGTTGCAGCAGAGTGAAAATGGAAGCGACACTAGAAGGCACAAGTTTGTCATCAAGGTTTTCAGCCATAACAACTCATATACCCCAAGAGCCATAGCCCTATAATCTTTTTTTTCCCTAGTTGTACTCACACATTGCCTCCACTGAGGTTCGAACCCCTGACCTCCCTTTGGGAAGTAAGGGCCTTGTACCGCTAGGCCACAGGCCTGTTGGTATAGCCCTATAATCTGCCTCTGCCCTAGATCAAGAGACAATAACCTACTTCTTAATGCGCCAAGTAACCAAGTTACCACCAATAGTGGTATAATAACCCGAAGTTGACTTCCTATCTGAAACTGATCCTGCATAATTAGCATCTATCTAAGCCTCAGCATGTAAGTGACCATGATTGACAAACAAAATACCACGGCCCGGACACCCTTTTAAGTAGCGAAGGATCTGAATAGCTGCATCAAGGTGAGGGGTACGAGGAGAGTTCATGAATTGACTCACGACACTCACGACATAAGCGATGTCAGGTCGAGTCATGGATAAATAGATGAGCTTCCCCACGAGTCGTTGATACTGTCCAACATCTGACAACAACTCCCCTTCAGAATCAGCCAACCGATGATTCTGCTTAATCGGAGTATCAACAGGACGAGCGCTAAACTGACCAGAAATAGAAAGCAAGTCAAGAACATACTTGCATTGAGAGATGAAAATGCCGGCCCTGGAGCGAGCCACCTCAATGCCCCAGAAGTACCGTAGGGGACCAAGATCCTTAATCTCAATCTGACGGCCAAGATAGCTCTTAATCTCAGCAATTCCGGTAGTATCATTGCCGGTAAGAACAATATCATCGACATACACAATGAGAGCAACTGTCTTACCGCCTGAATGACGTAAAAACAAGGTTTGATCAGCTGCACTTTGATGGAAACCAAACTTGAGCATGGCAGTGCCAAAGCAACCAGACCAAGCTCGAGGAGACTGCTTGAGGCCATACAGAGAACGACGAAGATGACATACCATACCAGAATGAGCAGGAGAACGAAAGCCAGGAGGAGGAACCATGTACAGCTCCTCCTGCAAATCA